AAAAAAAAAAAAAAAGAAAGAAAGAAATTACACCAATAAGCCAGGTGTGGTGGTGCATGCCTTTAATCTCAGCACTCAGGAGGCAGAGGCAGGTGGATCTCTGTGAGTTCGAGGCCAACCTGGTCTACAAATTGAGTTACAAGACAGCCAGGACTGTTATACAGAGAAACCCTGTCTCAAAAAAAAAAAAGAAAAAAAGAAAAAAAGAAAAAAAAGAAGGAAGGAAGGAAGGAAAGAAGGAATTAAAATTGTACCAAAGGTCTGTAGCAAAAGTCATTTCTTTCTAATTAGATTCAAGGTCAAGTTCTGCTTGCTTGTAAATAGAATGGAAGGGACTGGGGAGATGGCTCATCAGCTAAGAGCATTGGCATTCCAGATAACTCTGACAACCCAGGTTTGATTCCCAGCACCCACATGACATTTCATAACTGCCTGTATTTCCAGTTCCAGGGAATCTGACACTCTCTTCTGGCCTTCTTGGGCTGCTAGCAGGCACACATCTAGTACACAGACATATATGTGCAGGCAAAACACCCATAGACATGAAATAAAGAATAATAATCTTTAAAAAGAATGAAAGGCCAGCGAGATGGCTCAGTGGGTAAGGATACCTGGTACTAAGTCTGAGTTTGATCCTCAGGACCGACGGTGAAAGGAAAGAACTGGCCCTCACAAGTTATCCCCTGACCTCCACACATGGGTCATGATGCTCCATGTGCACCCAGACACATAAGCTGCATGAAATAAATAAAGTGCATGTATAACTGTTTTAAAGAAATGGAATAATGATACTGTTGCTATCTCTGGTGTTGTAGGTATGCTGTGAGTGTCCTGTGGGAATTAGATAAAACCTCTTATGAAATTAAGAAAGTGTGGTATGGTAGAACCATTATCCGATCAGCTTACAAACTGTTCTACGAGGCGGCCCAAGAGCTACTGGATGGAAACTTCAGCGTTGCTGATGACATTCCAGAATTCAAAGCCTTGGAGGAGCAGAGCCGGCAGGCCAAACTGGAGGAGTTAGTGTGGGCAATTGGGAAGCTGACGGACATAGCCCGCCACATCCGAGCAAAGAGAGACAGCTGCGGCGCCCTGGAGCTGGAAGGCGTGGAGGTTCGGGTTCAGCTGGATGACAAGAAGAACATTCACGACCTCATCCCCAAGCAGCCCCTGGAGGTTCATGAGACAGTGGCCGAATGCATGATCCTAGCCAACCACTGGGTGGCCAAGAAGATCTGGGAGAGTTTCCCCCACCAGGCTTTGCTGCGCCAGCACCCTCCTCCACACCAGGAGTTTTTCTCAGAGCTCCGGGAATGTGCTAAAGCCAAAGGCTTCTTCATAGACACACGGTAATCCTCTTTTGAGGGGCCAGGGAGTACTGTGCTCCTGCTTATCTTATGGTTCCTAAAATATGGCATGTAGCCAGACAGTGATGCATTGGAGCCTGAGGCAGCCAGGTCAGCAGTTTGAGGCCAGCCTGGACTACTTAAAGAAGATTTAATTAAAAACTTTATAGTTGCCAGGCACAAGGTCCTAATTAAAATACCTTTTATCAATTTAACAAAATGAATTTTTTTTTTTTTTGGCTTTCTGTCTTCAAGCAACAGAGTCTGGGTCATTGATTAGTCACCTGCATGCAGGTCACATGACCAAGGGCCTTTTGGACCACATCCTTTTGGTTAGTCCTTAGAATGTGGAGGTGGTGACGCTGTCATTCATAGTTTACTGATGGGAACTTTAGTCTAACGGGGTTAAGTAACTTGCTCATCATTTACCTGTTGGGCGGGACAAGGTCGGGACTCTCATCCAAGGCACTGATGCTCAGAAGCTCATCTCAGGGGCCATTTCCCAAGCCTGTGTGTTCATCATTGATCTCACCTTTCACCCTCTCCCTTAGCCAGCTGCCCAGAACTGAATTATGTTATATTCCTGGTTTTATTTTTAATATACTAGTATGTTCCTAAAGGTTTAAAATTTTACTTTTGGAGTAAATAAATCTCTCTTTTGTTCTTTAAAAAAAAAAAAAGTAATGTAGGTTTGCTTGTGCATGTCAAGTTTTGGTCTGCTTTTTTTTGAGACTGGTTTTCACCATGCTTCCTGGCTTAGCCTCTGGAGTGCATGGAGTCCAGGAGTGTGCTGCCATGCCTGCTGCTTTGTTTCTGAAATTTCCCTCTGGATAAATCATTCTTGATAAATAAAGAACAAAATGGCCGTTCTTTGGCCTGTATAGGATACTTACAGTTGAGTGTATTAAGAATGTAACTCCACTGGGGTGGGGGGGAGGTTGGCACACACCTTTCATTTCAGCCAGGGAAGCAGAGGCAGATAGATCTCTGAGTTGAAGGCTAGCCTGGTCTACAGAATGATGAGTTCCAGGACAGCCGGGACTACATGGAGAAACACTGTCTCTAACCCCTCCCCCCCACACAAAAAGAATGTAATTCCACAAGAACCTGACCACCTTTTTCAGTCCAGCATTGGCTTAGCCCTGTATTAATGGGACATTACTCTGCTACCTAAGAAATATAAATTCTGGGGCTCAGCACTTATTAGCAAAATGATTTGACTGCTCTTACAGAGATGCTGGGCTTGATTCCCAGCACCCACACAGCAGCTCACAACTGCCTCTTACTCCAGTCCGAGAGAGGAGCCAATGCCTTCTTCCGGCTTCTGTGGGCTGCTGCACCATATGAATGCATGGACGTATATACACATATTTATGAAAATAAATAATTTTTTAAAAAATTTAAATTCTGACCATCTTTCTTTGTTTAAACTTTAAAAGCAAACTAGATTTCTGTATTGAAAAGAAAATTGTGAGGGGTCGGAGAGATAGCTTAGAGGTTAAGAGCTCTGGCTGCTCTTCTAGAGATCCTGAGTTAATTCCCAACAACCACATGGTGGCTCACAACCATCTATAATGAGATCCGGTGCCCTCTTCTGGCGAGTAGGCATACATGCAGACAGAACACTGCATACATGATAAATAAATCTTTTAAAAAAGAAAAGAAAATTATGGCTAAAATAAATTTAACTACCGGGGGATGGAGATATTTAAACCAAGGAGTGGAAACTGTTACTTGTAATTGCCTTTGGGGACCCATCAAGGCTTCTCTGCTTCTTGGTAGGTCCAACAAAACCCTGGCTGACTCTCTGGATAGTGCAAACGACCCCAGCGACCCTATGGTGAACAGGCTGCTGCGCTCCATGGCTACCCAGGCCATGTCCAATGCACTCTACTTCTCCACCGGGTCCTGTGCAGAGGAAGAGTTCCATCATTACGGTGACTGACAGCGTTGTCTTAACGAATGGCTCAACCTTGAGCAAATCTTTTGGAAAGTGCTCTTGTCTGTCCTTTATTCTGAAGTTTTGGTTTCCTTTTGAAGGTCTTGCGTTAGATAAATATACCCACTTTACTTCTCCGATAAGAAGATACTCAGATATTGTTGTACACCGACTATTAATGGGAGCCATTTCAAAAGACAAGAAGATGGAAATTAAAGACAATTTCTTCAGCAACAAAGATCTTGAGGAATTATGCAGACATATTAACAACAGAAACCGAGTAAGAAGGAACTTCAAACTCCTCCCTATCTCATAGAGGGTATTGGCTTTACCACATAAGAGAATGGGGCACCATATATTTTTGCAAACTCCATAATTATTGTAACCAGTGCTCTTAATACATTTACTAGTGTTCTGGTAACGTGAATTTGGGGAATTTTTGTTGTTGTTTGATTGTATGTTTTTGAGACAGAGTCTCATTATATAGACCAGTCTGACCTCTGCCTCCCAAGTCCTGGGACTAAAGGTGTGTACCACTATGCCTGGCAGTTTTGTTTTGTTTAGACGAGGACTCACTGTTTTTTCCTAGGCTGAGTTTTCATTTAGGGGACTAAAGTGACCCTCCAGCTCAGCCTCTATTCTCTATATGTTCTATGCCAGGCTTAGCATTAGAGGCTTGACAATGAATTAAAGGTCTTTCCCAAAAGGTAGAGATCTAAAGGTTCAAGCAGCTGGGTATAATAATGATGGGTGTAACCCCATCATTCAGGAGGCTGAGGCTGAGGCTGAGGCATGTAGCTGGTTTAATATATATATATTAGTATAATATAGTATATATTATAGTATAATATAGTATATATTATATATATAATATATAGTAATGTGTGTGTGTGTGTGTGTGTGTGTGTGTATGGAGAGAGAGAGAGCCAGGCATGGTCAGATGCCTTTAATTCTAGCACTTGGGAGGCAGAGGCAGGCAGATCTCTGAGTTTGAGGCCATTCTGGTCTACATAGTGAGTTCCAGGACAGCCAGAACTACACAGTAATGAGACCCTGTCTCAACAACAACAAAAAGTTACACTGTCTAGAATTTTTTTTTTTTGAGGGGGTGATTTTGAGCCAAGGTTTCTCTATGTAGCCCCAGCTGTCTGGAAATTTGCTCTGTAGACCAGGCTGGCCTCAAACGCAGAGATCCACCTGCCTCTGCTTCCCGAGAGCTGAGATGAAAATCGTGCACCACCACCACCTGGCTTAATTTTTCATATCTTTAAAATCTTTTAAATTTCATTTTTTTATTTATCTGTTTGTTTGGTGTGTGTATGTATCTATACATTCACATGAAAGTCAAAGCCAATTTGTGGGAGTTGGTAATCTCTTTCTACCATCTTCACCCACAGAGTGGAACTCAGGTTGTCAGGTTTGACAGTCAGTGCCATTAACTGAGCCACCTCACCAGTCTTTGTGTGTGTGTGTGTGTGTGTGTGTGTGTGTGTAAGTTCTTGTCTTTGAGACAGCTTGTTTCTGCTGCTACATTGTGCACTCCAGGATAGCTGGCAGGTACAGCTGGGAGCTTCTGGCCAGTTCTCCTGTCTCTGCCTCCCATCCTCCATCCTCTTGTGATAGGAATGCTGGGATTACAGGCGATTGCCACCATGTCCAGCCTTTACATAGCTCAGGTGGTAAGGTTTGCACAGAAAGTTCTTTGACCCACTGAGCCTTCCTTCACACCTCATCTGCTGCTGGATCTTTTTTTTTTTCTTTTTGAAATGGGGTTGTTTTGTCTCTGTCTTTGGTTTAGTTGAGACAACAATTTACTCTGGATAGCCAATCCTGTCTCAGCCTCGCAAGTACTGGGGTTATAGGCTTGTGCCACCACGCTGTTGAATCCCATCCTTTTTTTGTTTTTTGTTTGTTTGTTTGTTTGCTTGCTTTTTTCCCCAGACAGGGTTTCTCTGTGTAGTTTTGGTGCCTGTCCTGGATCTCACTCTGTAGACCAGGCTGGCTTCAAACTCACAGAGATCCGCCTGGCTCTGCCTCCTGAGTGTTGGGATTAAAGGCATGTGCCACCGAAGCCCAGCAGAATTCCGTCCTTTTAAAAGCTGTTTCTGTGGGAATGAGTTTCGGGTTTCTTCCTGGACATCAAGGAACTCTATTGTCATATGCGGGGTTGTGCTTCTTACAGGCAGCCCAGCATGCTCAGAAGCAGTCCACTGAGCTCTTCCAGTGCATGTACTTTAAAGACAGAGACCCGGAAACGGAGGAGCGCTGCATTGCTGATGGGGTCATTTATTCTATTAGAACAAATGGCGTACTTGTATTTATACCAAGGTATGTTACTTCTCATGCAGTAGTTAATTAGAAATCACAGTTAAACCATACCAGTGTTGAACACAAATGATCCATTATATATAACTTACTAAAATATTTATTTAGACTGGGGGTGTGCAGCTCAAAGGTGGAATGCTTACCTAACACACAAAGTGTTTGATCCCCAGAATCACATACAACCAGGTATGGTGATACATGCCTGTAAAGCAACAGGATCAGAAGTTCAAGGTCATCCATAGTTACACAATGATTTTGATACCAGCTTGCACTATATGAGACCTTATCTCTAAAAAAGAATATAAGCTTGGCATGGTAGCACGTACCTTTAATCCCAACACTCAAGAGGCAGACACAAGCAGATCTCTGAGTTCAAGACCAGCCTGATCTTCAAAGCAAGCTCTAGGCCAGCCACAGCTACAGAGTGAGACTTTCTCAAACAAACTATATAGTAACATATACAATTCTACATATTCATAAAATTACTGTATGTACACAATATAACATATAGTCAGGAAATAAAGGGCACAATTGGGAGTACATATGTATGCACATCTGTATTAGTCTTAGGATCTTTCTTAGCTAGCAAAGCATTGTTTCTGATCTGCTTCTGTAAAAATGTTTTGGAGGTAAACCACAGGAAGGGTGGCTAAGCATAGAAAATCTGCCTACTAAGACTACATTATCTCGTTTTACCCTGTGATGATTTAGGTTTGGGATTAAAGGTGCTGCTTATCTAAAGAACAAAGATGGCTTAGTGATCTCGTGTGGCCCAGAGAGCAGCTCTGAATGGAAGCCAGGATCCCTGCAACGATGTCAGAACAAGATCACTTCTACCACAGCTGGAGGACAGTCAGTTACATTTCATCTGTTTGACCATGTGACAGTAAGTCTGCGTACTTAGTGTTATTTTTTTTTTTTAGGGGGAAAAGGGGTTTGGCTTTGGTTTTTTTCAAGACAGGGTTTCTCTGTGTAGTTTTGGTGCCTGTCCTGGATCTCGCTTTGTAGACCAGGCTGGTCTCGAACTCACAGAGATCCGCCTGCCTCTGCCTCCCGAGTGCTGAGATCAAAGGCATGCACCGCCACCACCACCACCCGGCAAGTGTTTTCAATGTGAAGAAAAAAGGGACATGATGTAGTAACATGTGTTTCTCTGTTCTAGGTTAGAATATCCGTCCAGGCCTTGCGTTGCCATTCTGACACCATCAGGCTTGAAATAATAAGTAACAAACCATATATGACTCCAAACCCAGAGCTGTGCCAGCAGAACTCGCTCCTGCTGAAGAGCGAGTTAGTGAAAGAAGTGACCCGATCTGTGGAGGAAGCTCAGCTTGCCCAGGAAGTCAAAGGCAGGGCGCTTCAGGAGTACCAAGAATACTGCCAGACGAAGGGAAGAAGTCTCTACACGCTTCTGGAGGAGATAAGGGACCTTGCTCTTCTGGATGTTTCAGACAGTTATGCAATGTGAAATACTTCCACTTCAATAAAGAGCTTCGTCTTAGGTGTTGTACTGTCTTTTCAGACTTAAATGTTGTCACTTGTTCTAGCTGAAGATTAAGTGGGTACTTCACATACTCATGCAATGTTTTCACACCTCACTGAAGTAGAACCAGCTCCCTATATAAACGGGTTTTTGTTGTTGGTAGTGGTGTTTTGTTTTGTTGGTTTTGTTTTTTTTGAGAGAGGGTTTCTCTGTGAAACAGTTCTGGCAGTCCTGGAACTCACTCTGTAGACCAGGGCGACCTTGAATTCGAGAGATCCATCTGTCTCTGCCTCCCAAGTGCTAGGATTAAAGGCGTGCACCACTACTGGCTACTAGAAACTGGCTTTTCAGCAGTTGAATAGACAGTGATCAGGCTGTAAAAGGCAGGTTGCTAGTCTCTCTATAGTAAATCCAAAATTATCTTGCTTCAAATCAATTTAGTTTTTTGAGACTGTCTTATTTTGTAGCCTTGGCTGGCCTAGAACACACTATGTAGACCAAGCTGATCATTGAGATCCTCCTGCTTCTGCCTCCGGACTACTGGGATTAAAGGTATGTGCCACCACACTTGGCTCAAATTGATTCTTTCAAATGAAGTTTACTTTTGTAATTTTTACAGACATATTTGGGCCATAGGTCCCTCTGACATCATTTAGCCATTTGGGGGTAAGACAGTCCTGTCCTGTCCACCTTCCTCTTCAAAACTTATTTCATGTTTGATTCACAATTTCCCAATTGTTCTGGCACCAGCTGGACACAGGGCAGAGTGGGTGGTGGGCTGTACTCTTAAGTCTTACCTTAAACTCCTGTTCCACCCTCAAATTCTGTTGTGTGTACCTCCAATGGCCAGGCTTTCCCACGAGAAATGTTCCTGAACTCACCACTGGAAAAGTGCTTCTCCCCCCCGGCCTTTCTGATTCAGTGAGTGTGCCTGGAAGCCGGATGAGTAAGCCATTTCTCCACTATCAGTGCATGCTGAGACCAGCCTCCATCTTCTAGCTGTTCCCTGTCTAAAGCGAGCCCATCCTCTTGATTCATTTTCCCCTGGCCAATCACTGATAGTTCCCACAAGCCCACAACCCATAGTGTGTGCCAAACCATGTCACTCCCAATGGACTTGATGTCAGCCCAAGATGTCACCTATCCTGCCTTAGGGATGAAAACCACTGCAGCATCACCACCCTCTCCCTAAGGAAGAGGCAAGAGACCTTTTCTTTTTCTTTTTTTAAAGACTTATTTATTTATTATGTATACAATGTTCTGCCTGCATGTGTCACTGAAGGCCAGGGCACCAGATCTCATGATAGATGGTTGTGAGCCACCATGTGGTTGCTGGGAATTGAACTCACGACCTTTGGAAGAGAAGCCAGTGCTCTTAACCTCTGAGCCATCTCTCCAGCCCAAGAGACCTTTCCTTTAGAACTACTGTCGTTGTCACTAAAGGTTAGCTCCTTTGTCTTCAGTGTTTTCCCCAACTCTAGTGGGAATTTGCTGGCAAGAACCAGACCATAAACTTCCCCACCTGGTGCTTTCTCAATTCTGGCCCTCCACCACATTCATAAAGCAAGCAAACTCCTGTCAGGTTCTCTCTTCATCTGGTCCATCACATCTAACCTCCTAGTCATCATTCCCAAGTCTCTCTTTCTGACATTACACACGCGCTTCCCACTACTGAGAATCCCCTCTACCAACTGACAGTTCTTTCATGTGACCCCTCGCTGCACACTGTCCCTCACAATACTCTCCAAGCTTCTTTCCAACAAATGAATCGGGAACATATGAAGGACCATCCTGATTTCTGAAGATGCTGGAGTTTCATACCCATGGTCTTACACACCCTACACAAGCCCTCTAGCACATTCTCAACCTATAAACATCTCTGAACTCGCCTACCATCATTAATGGGGAGGCATTATCAACCTTTTATGTGATCTTTTAAACACTAAAGTAACTTCAAAATACAGGCAAGCTGGGTGTTGTGGCACACACCTTAGTTCTAGCTAATACACATGGTAGATGCATGCAGTTCCCAGTGAGTTTTGAGACCAACTGAGGTTACAGTGAGACCCTGTCTGAAGGCAAAAGCAGGGAGGTTCGCCACAAATTTCAGGCCAGCCAGGATGATGTAATGAGAGCGGGTCTCAAGAAAACTACAGTCAAAACCCTTAACCATTTCAGCAAGTTCAAATTGTGTAACTAAATCATGGTGAGAAACTCAAATCCTAAGAACTGTTTGCAAAATACATTTATTTCTTTATAAAAACAGACCTTAAAAAAAGATCTTAATAGTCAGTGCATATTTACATTTTAAAACATTACCTAATTTAGTGAGAAAGAATTCAGTGTAAACTAGAAATAGCTTATAAAGCCAAATTTATACAGAATACCAAAAATAATAAATAGACTTACTAAAGTAAGTAGGAAACACAATTATAAATAGTCACTGTATTTTAAGCAGGAATCCATAGAAATCTTATGACTTAAGAGACTTACACAAAGTAGAAAAATTTACAAATAACCCCAAACTTGCAGGATTCTCTTGTGGAAGCCTGGTTACTTGGAACATGTCTGGATTAGTCTAGGTTAGTATGGTTCAGCTGTTTGTCCTCTGCTTTGAGCTGTTCCTCTTCATCTGTATTGGCAGAAGGAACATCATGTGGACCATCTGCAGCGTCTGTGTTTAATCCACCTGCCTCTTCTTGCTCCTCACCAGTACTGCTCTCTTCAACTGGCTGTGCCCAGGATGTACTCATTAACTCATCTGAGAGGAATCATATCAATATTACTCGGTATAAGCAACTGATCCAATCTTGATCAACACAAATCTCTCCAAAAGCTTACTCAGTAGAAACAAATCTATAATCACCTAATTATGACTACTAAAGTCTAAATAAAAACCAGTTTTTCACACATGCATAAAGCACACTTAAAATGCCAAGGGTCCCAGGAAAGTGGGTGTAGTTCAGTTGTAGAATCAATACAGATTAGCAAGCATGAGGCCCTGGATTCAATCCTGGCACTCATACATACAAAAGTTAAGGGTCCTAAATGATACTATATTCAATTCTTCAATCTTACTCTAATACAACTTCTCATTCAAAATAAAACTAGAAAGAGACTCAAAGAAATCAGACGCAGAGCAGGCAAGATGACTCTGTGGTTAAGGTACTTCCTGTCAAGTCTGAATGATCCAATAGCGGGAGGACAGAACAGCCTCCCAAGTTGTCCCGACTTGTATGCTGTGGCACATGCAGGAGTAGGCACATATGCACACACAAGCACAATGTCAAGACAAGTGCAATTAAATTTTATGTCAAAGTGATCTATGATAAAGAAAATTTAAGCAAGGATGATGGCACATGCCTATTCAGCACGTAGAACCAAGTCTGGGGGAATAAAAAAGAAACCTTAAGATACTTTTTTGTATTTGGTCAAAATGTAAGTTATAGAGTATAAAAAGAAAATGAGCCTTAAATCCTTATTGTCAAGTGTACTTTGAGATGGCAAGAAGCAACTGCTCTGCATCATTACATCTTTGTGTGATGATTTTTAATATTTGTTATTTTTCCTTATGTGTAGCTATGTGCACAGAGTGCAGGAGCCCCTTGAGGTCAGAGTCATCAAATCTCCTGGAACCAGTTACTAACAGTCATGAGCCACCTGATGTGGGTGCTAGGATCCCAATTCTGGTACTCTGGAACTGCAGCAAGTATTCTTAACCAGCCGGGCGGTGATGGCGCATGCCTTTAATCCCAGCACTTGGGAGGCAGAGCCAGGTGGATCTCTGTGAGTTCAAGGCCAGCCTGGGCTACCAAGTGAGCTCCAGGAAAGGCGCAAAGCTACGCAGAGAAACCCTGTCTCGAAAAACCAGAAGAAAAAAAAAAAGTATTCTTAACCAATGAGTCATCTCCATCCCTTCATGATTTCTCACATTATACTAATAAAAAAGGTTTATTTGTGAAGATAAAAATGAGATATCTTAACTGAAAATCAAGACCGGGCTACAACATTCACTTGAGAATTGTTATATTGGATGAAACATTTTACAATGGTATTTACTTACTACAATTCTTTTTTTTAGGTTTTCATTTTTATTTATATGTACATGCACACAAGTGTGTAGGTGCCCAACGAGGCCAGAAAAGGGCAATGGATCCCTTAGAACTGCAGTTATAAGCTACTGTGAACCACATGATGTAGATTCGGTCCTCTGCAGGAGCAGCAAGAGCTTATTTTAACTGCTGACCCATCTATCCAACCTCATTTGCTATAATTATTTTTTCCATTTCAAAAGGAAACTGGATTACAAACAGACGTATTCCCAACTTTTGTTCTGAGACAAGGTCTTTCCTTTGTAGCTCAGGCTAGCCTAGAACTATGTAGTCCAGGATACCCTTGCTTAATCTCCCTGCTTTAGTCTAGTAAGTACCAGCATATGCCACTAAACCTGGCTCATAAACTTTACCTTAAAATTAATTCTCAGTAATTTCATATAATGTATAATTCTTATAAAACAAAGTTTTGAGGAGAACTAGAGAGAACACCCAAGTGGCAGCTCACAACCATCTGTAATCCTAGTCCCAGGAGATCTGACACCTCTGACCTTCATGGGCACCAGACACACATGTGGTGCACAGACACATCTGCAGGCAAGACACTCATACACATAAAACAGTAAGGTAATGATTTTTTAAATTCAGTTTTGTGGCTGGAGAGATGGCTAAGCAGTAAAGAATACTTGCTGCTCTTGCAGAAGACCAGAGTTCTAATCCCACCCCCACATGGTAGCTTAACAACCATCCATCAATTTAGTTCCAGGGGATCCAATGCCCTCTTCCGACCTCTGAAGAGAAAAGGAACAAAAATTGTGCAGACTGCTGGCAATGGTGGTGTATGCCTTTAATCCCAGCATTTGAGAGACAGAGGCATGTTTAGTCTACAGAGCAAGTTCCAGGACAGCCAGGACTACACAAAGAAACCCTGTCTCAAAAGACCAAAATGAAAAAATAAAATAAATT